CTTCCTTCCTTCCTTCCTTCCTTCCTTCCTTCCTTCCTTCCTTCCTTTTCTTTCTTCCTTCCTTCCTCCCTCCCTCCATTCCTCCCTCTCTCTTTCTTTTTCTTTTAAAAAAGATATAAACATTTTAAATTATGGGTATGAGTGTGTCTCTGTGTACATGAGTTCTGGTGCCTATGGTGGCCTGTGGAGGACATCAGATGCTCTTGGGCTGGAGTTACAGGTGGTTGTGAGCTTCTTGATATGGATACTGAGAACCAAATTTAGGTCCTCTGCAAGAGCGTTGCAAGCCCTTGACTGCTGTGCCATCTCTTCAGCCCCACCCCTTCCACTTTAATATCACACAAAGGACACCCATTTTGGAGACTGTGTGAGTGTTTTGTGTTTGACTTTATGATGGTGGAGAGGAGATTGGTGGACAAAGTTTGCGAGAGACAGGGGTAGATGTGTTTGATGGTATGGCCAGGGAGAGATTGGAGCAGAAGGCTGCAGAGTGGGAAAGAATAAACTGATGACAAGACGGGGAATGACAAGGTCACAAAGTGACAAAGATAGTGGAGTTGAAGGCCATCAGGTCTGAGGAGGCGAAGGAACCATAAGGCCAAAGGTCAGCAGTGGCTGATATCCCTATGACATGGGGATCTGCCCACAGAACCAAGTGACAAAGAGAGTAGAGCAAATGAGATGGGTGAGTGTTAGGGGGCTCTTTCAAAATGAGGATATTGGAGGAGTGGTTAAGATGGAAACTTCAGCGCTGCTCAGGATCTGTGTGTGGGAGGAAGGCCTTCCACATGGGGAGGCGCCATGTTGCCTGTGTCCCTGATTCAACTAAAGATGGCAGATAGAAGCCAGGAGCTGGAAGGGAGACCCCAGGAGTGGGGCTCCAGGAACCCTGTCCAAGGTTTCAGGAGCATGCCTGGTGTCCCATCATCGTTAGGGCCTTGCCTCCTGTCCACCCTTTCCCTTCTCTCCCAGGGTGCACTCAGGCCTTGTCCTTCCTTCCTTCTTCTTTTTCCAAGGGGCAGCTGTCTGAACTCTTGGCCAAGGCTGGTGAACTGCCTGCCATCCCACAGTTCAACCCTCTACGTCTGCCACTGCATGGAAGCTAGGAGCCGGGCTTCCAAAAGACAGCTGTGCCAGTCTGGCCCTGGCCCTTGGCTGGCCCTGGCCTATCTGCTCAGCTGCCTGTTTGCCTCCAGCAAGGCCAAGGTCTTCAGTCGCTGTGAGCTTGCCAAAGTGCTGCGTGACTTCGGCCTGGACGGCTACCGGGGATATGACCTGGCTGACTGTGAGAACCCTTCTCCTGTCTCCCACCACTCACTCTCTTGTCTTCCTTCCTACTCGTTCAAGAGCCTTGGAGGCTTTTTGAACATAGTTGTTCTTTGTAAAAGCAGAACTCAATGAGACAGCAGGTGGATACCACCCAGTCCCCAGTTAACTGCGTACCAGGCAGGCAACAGGCAGTCAGATTAGATGCTGGGAGCCAGAAAGTCAGAGGAACCAACAGCTTATTAGGTTACACCTTATCTTGGCTGTGAGGATCAAACATGTCTGCTGAAAGTCAGATCGCAAACTGAACAAATCAGTAACACCAAACATTGCGAGCTAGTGTCAGTTTCAGGAAATTGTAAAGTACAGTCACATCTCGGTTCATTTTTGTCTCTAGTCCTGGCCTCAGTAAACATTTAGCTCTCGTAAGGTCATTCAACAAATGCAGCAAGCCCGAGCAGTGAGAACACAGGAAGATCGACATCCTGAGTCAGGAAGGCTGAGGTCTAGTCCTGACCCTTGCTTTGAAGTAACTGTATGGAACCTTGAGGAAGTCACTTTGACCTCTGACTTTAGATTGATCCATTTGCAAAGCAGATGGGTGGATGTCTCTGTTGGGTAGAGGAAGTCAGTGTGTAGGAATTGGTTGTAAGAGTTTTGGCCTGTGGGGGCGTGACCGCCTGACCTCAAACCCTGTGTCTGTCCCTTGCAGGGATCTGCCTTGCTTACTATACAAGCGGTTTTAATACAGCTGCTGTGGACCATGAAGCTGATGGAAGCACCAACAATGGCATCTTCCAGATCAACAGCCGGAAGTGGTGCAAAAGTCTCGCCCCAAGTGGCCTCAACATTTGCCATCTATACTGTAGTGGTAGGTCAGGGCTGGGTCCTTGCACTAGCCTTCACTTTTTTGTAGGCTCGTTTTCTTCCCTTGTCATTGTCTCTGGGTGAAGATCCCCAGGAGATGGGTAAGGAGGCAAGCAGGGAGGAAAGGGCTTCTGTGACTCTGGTTTAAGGTCCAGGTTGGGAGCTACAGAAACGGAGGAAAGACTGTGGGGGAGAAGGGTGGGGTAACATCAGTTTCCAGAGATGGAGAAATGGTGTGTGTGTGTGTGTGTGTGTGTGTGTGTGTGTGAGAGAGAGAGAGAGAGAGAGAGAGAGAGAGAGAAAACCCTGTTCTCTGTTCCCTCACTCTGTCTCTCCTTCCACCCCAGATTTGTTAAGCCAAGACCTCACAGATTCTGTCATCTGTGTCATGAAGATAGTTCAAGAGCCTCAGGGTCTGGGCTATTGGTGAGTAACTCCCACTGGAATTACTGGCCAGGACTGGAAGGTAGCATCAGGGGACTGGCCTTCCATGAGCATGCGCTTTGTCCTAGGCAACACACTTGTTCTCAAGATCTTATGTGGAAAAGACAACCTTTCTTGGTTGACAGCTGTTTAGAAGTCTTGCTGGTGCACTACTGATCATTAGGCTTTTGACACTGGTATGAGAAAGGACCGGTTTTCAGAGCTTGGGATTCCCAAGAACTTTGGACCCCAGGACCCTCTTGCTTATCTTCCTCAAGATGTCAGCTGTGATGGGACTAGGAAGACATTTAAGTCCATAAAAATTGCTTGTCACGCAAGAGTGAAAAACCCAAGTTTGATCCCCAGAATGCATATGAAAAAAGCTGGGCATGTTGACATTTGTAATCCCAGCACTAGGGAGGCAGAGACTGACAAATTTCTGAGGCTCACTGGCCAGCCGGCTGACCTTAATTGCTGAGCTCCAGGTTCAGTGAGAGGCCCTGTCTCAAAAACAAAGGTGCTCCTCCCTCCTCCCCTATCAGTGGATAAGGGGAGGGGCATGGGGGAGAAGAGGGAGGGAGGGTGGAACTGGGAGGAGGTGAGGAAGGGGCTTACAATCTACAATCAGGATACAAAATGAATAAATTGTAGTAAATAATAAATCAATAAAAAAAGAAAAATAAAATAGACAAAAACAAAGCAAAACAAAACAACAAACCAAAAATCAAGGTGGACACCTCCTGAGAAATGACACTCAAGGTGACTTCTAGCCTTTCTCTCTCTCACCCCCCCACGCTTATACAGCAAAACAAAGATATTATCTATAATCCATACAAAGAAATGATCCCAAGAGAGTACAATAGCCAACAATGGAAAGACCAACATTGGCAACCAAGAAATGCTGAGTGTGCCCCGGACCCTAGGTGGATAAGTTTATATCACTGTCCGAGTTTTTAATTTGGAAAATAGGGAAGATAATACCTACCCATTCTACATAATCGGCCATCTGGGGACAGGGGGAGAGTAGGTTATAAGTGGGTGAAGGATATCCTGGCATGTAAACTGTGAAGGACTAGACACATGTGAGGTGGCCTCACTGTCCCCAGAAGCACTTGCATGTAGGAAAGGAGCTTTGTACTTAGGCTCCAGACTACAGCCTCTAACTCTTTGACAAGGACTCATGGGTAAGTTTGAGCATAAGAATTTGTATCTTCAGTGGTAAATTACGACATTTAGATATTGGCTTTTCGCGGCCATTCTCTTCCTTAAAAAACTTTCCCCTTGGTGATCGGTGATTGCTTGCTGGTTGGCTAGGCTTCTTTGTTGCTGTCCACCTTCCTAGCCCCCATTCTTGCTTCTCTTCAGTGTAGAGCTGTGTACCTTTTCTGCTCTCTGAATAGGACGGAGAGCTGAAGATGATGTGGAACCTTCTGTGTGTTTTCTATCCCCAGGGAGGCCTGGAGGCACCATTGCCAGGGCAAAGACCTCAGTGACTGGGTGGATGGATGTGAATTCTAGGACCCTCTCTGGATGGACCAACCTACACACAGCTGGCTGGGAAGTGTGGTTTTGTTCCTGACGAAGGCTTGGGAAGACAAGCCAACTCATAAAAATCTAATTTGCCATAAGCTTGTGTCTCAGCTCTCTGAGGGTCTGGAGGTGCCTGGCTGGTCTCTCATTTCACTTGCTCACCTGGGCTTGGCTTCAGGTGGAGTTCAAGAAGCCTATAATGAAAGGCTGGAGGACAGGGATGATGCTTACCTTCCTCACACCTGGCAGAGTTTGGGTCTAAAGTTTCCAAAGTTAGCAAAAGCAAAAACCAAACAATAGGATGCCCTGGTTAAATTTGAACTTCAAACACACCACAAGTAGCTTTAACGTGCAAGTATAATACAAATCTTGTATGGCTCATACTAATATTAAAGAACCTACCCATGTATCTGTTCAAATTTAACTGGACGCTGTTGTACTTTTACCTGGCAACCCCAGAAAACTCTGGTGTTGTGAACCCCTGGTGTGTCTGGAATGGTCCTGGGTATGCTTGCTTTCGGGAACTCTGGTTGTAGATGGCAGCCACCATGCCTTAGCTCTCACTCTGGTGTCCCCTCACATCCTGTAGTCCTGAGGTGGTGCAGAATGACTGACCATGAAGGACCACAGGGTTTCTCCAGCTTTATCGGCCATCGTGCTTTTTAGCGCCCTCTAGAGGTGGGAGAGTCAAGTGTCACTGATAGTAATAGCTGGCATTTCCTGGACCGGAAGTCGCCCCGTGCTACCAACCTTTTAGAAGCTGGAAGATGGGGGTGGGGCTTGCCGGTGGGTTTAAGGTAGAAAAATGTAGAATGCCTTTTCCAGTATGTGGGGAGTCCTGAGGAAGGCAGCACTATTCCCACCGACAGGGAGCTCTGTCTCAGTTATCAGGGACATACGTATTTAAAGGAGCAAGGTAGGCAGAGTCTCAAAACTGCCAGAATAGCCATTGTCTTAATTAGGGTTACTATTGCTGTGATAAAACACCATTATCAAAAGCAACTTGGGGAGGAAGGGGTTTATTAGGCTTACACTTCCGTATCACTGTTTATCACTGTTTATCACTGAGGGAGCTCAGGACAGCAACTCAGACAAGGAAGGAGCTACGTAAAGGCCATGGAGTGACACCTACCGGCTTGCTCCCTGTGGCTTGCTGAGCCTGCTTTCTTAGAGAAAGCAGCTGAGGGACGATCCTACCCACAGTGGTCTGGGACCTCCCATCTCAGTCACTAATTAAGAAAATGCTCTACAGTCTCGACCACAGCCCAATGTTATGGAAGCATTTTCTCAGCTGGGTTCCCTCCTCTCAGTTGACTCTATCCTGTGTCAAGCTGACATCAAAATTAGCCAGCCCAGCAACAGAGATGATGGGAGCATGATATATGAGGAGAATGAGTCTTAATTTCAGATCGTAGCATCCTCTAGAAGGGTTTTCACTGAACCCTGTACGTGCCAAACTGTACATTGAGGTGTGGTCGGTGGCTCCTAGGGAGATGTCGCCCAATGTTTCTTTCCCCCAAAGTGCCAACAAATCCCGGAGGGGTGGATGAGCATCTACGACTGATGAAATAGTTGGGTTTCCATCTACCACTGGACTGGTCAATGGATAATAAAACATGAGAGCTGTTTATCCAAGTGGACAGTGATAAAACATCTTGCTAAGACGTGACAATGGTGACTAATGGATCTATTAAATCACACAAATACCCTGTGCCGACCATGTGGCCTGAGTTATCTGATTTATACGCTGGGACAGTAATAGTGACGCGGGTACCATTATCATCTCCATTCTGTTGATAAGGACTTAGATTTAGGGAAGGACAATTTGTACCCACGTCAGCCTGACTCCTTCAGTGTATACTGTCAGCATACGCGGACAAAAGGTCAGAGACCCAGGTCTCATCTATCTCGGATGCTGTAACTTCATAGTCTGTGCCTGCATTGCCTGATTGCTCCAGTGGGCCTCATTCAGTTAGTCTGGGAAAGGAGCCCGGGAATGGGTGGAATGAGGCTCTTGGAAGCAAGGGGAGAGTTGTTAAGAGGATGTGGAGGCTGCCATCACGGCCTCAGGCCTCTTCAAGGTGAGGGTGAACAGTGTCAGGTCCAGACAAGGGGACCCTGGAGGTCTGGACTAGGGAGTTCACTGGGAACAGGTAGAGATGGAGAAGGAATAACCAGGAACAGAGTGCTCCAATCAAGGTTACTACCGGCTGGCTTATGGTGATGGTTGACAGAGCGCAAGCTCACTTAAAAGTCCCAAACTCAGTTCCTAAAAACTGAGTATGTTAGGTTAAATATTGGTGTCTCCCCACCCACATCTCCCCATCACTCTCCCCTATAGTCCTCTGCTCACAAAATTTTGCCCACCTGAAATTTGTGTGTGTGTGTGTGTGGTTATATGTGTGCCTCCTCTCTCTGTGTGTATGTGTGTGGGTGCATGTGGAGATCAGAAGTGAATTTGGTGGTGTTCCTCAGGCATTGTTCACCTTGTTTTTTGAAACAAGGTCTCTTACTGGCTTGGAATTCATCGATGAGGGTAGGTGGCTCGCCACTGGGCTCCAGGGATCTTCCTGTTTCTGCTTCTCTAGCATTAGGATTACAACTATGCATTCCAATGACTGGCTTTTTAAAAAAATGGGTTTTAGGGATTAAGCTCAGGTGCTTATGCTTGTGTGGCAAGCACCTCTTAGCCTCTGGTCTTAACAGCTCTGGAAACTATCCCACCTTCTACCCCCACTGGGCTGCCTATTAAATCAAGCCCTCATCGCTCTGCTGGGACAGTTGCCTCTCACCTTGTTCCATGCCAGTAAAACTCCTCCTTCAACCTTGCCCTGTGCTCTGACCTCAGTGTCTTTCTCACCTTCGGCTGGACACTCAGCTTGGCTTAGGAGGGCTCCGGTGAGCAGAGTTGTCCCTTGGTTCATCTGAGTTTTTGACTCCAGCAGCTGTGTGTCCCGGAAGTGAGTTCCCTGAGATCAGCATGCTTTTCATATCTTGTGCCATCATTCATTAGACTCTCTTTCAGTGACTCTGTGCTTTGGATGCAACAAGCTACAGGGCCTTTGTAGCTCCCAGGAAGGTCATTTCATCAGTTTGTTTGTTTGTTTGTGATTATTCCTTTCTTCAGTCAGTCAGGACTTACCTTAATTTCACCTTCTCAGTGTGAATCTCTGACAACCAGAACTGAAGGAGTCACCTCACTATTCCTTGTCACTACCTTACCAGGTCCCTCTGTCAGCCATGATTTCATGCACATCTGAAAACACCACATACACAGACACAGGCACTCACATATACATGCATACATACACACATACACATACACACACACACACACACACACACACACACACACACACACCACACAGAACCTCTTTTGCTAGGCTGTAAGCACCAAGAGAGCAGGGACTTTGGGTGTTTCTTTTGTCTCCAGCATGTAGAACAGCCAGAGTCAGCAAATGGATGAACCTGCTGAAGGCCCAACTGGTATGTGAACATCAACTGATATTGGCAAACATCAAATGAGTGCCTACCAGTCCTTCAGGTCCAGTCATGTCCAGGAGTTCAGCACTCATTTTTGGGCCAGAAGAGCTAATGAAGGTCAACCTGAATGCTACAGGCAGCAAAGTGACCACCATATTGCTTGGTACAGTCAGACACAAGAAATGTTCCTTATGTCCTCTCTAGGTGTATCAAGCTCCAGCTGCCTCAGGGATCAGTGGGTGCCCTCAGGCCCTACCTACCTGAACACCTGAACTGTGTCCCTTTCACTATTTGCTGAGGAGGGAGAGGAAATGAGGGAGTATGAAGAGAGGGAGGAAAATGAGTTTGGATAAAGTGGCAGAGGTTTCTATGGAGTGTGGGGAGAATGTCAAGTTTGGTAGGTGTCCCTGTTCCAGACTAGAATGGCTCCAGGAGACAGATTTGAAGCAGGATTTTCTTTGTCATTAACCAAAGAATGAAGCAACACTCAGGGGGGTGCCTATTCTCTTTCTGTACATGCAGGTCAGGAGGCAGCAGCTCCTGGTAGCTCTGGTAAGCTTTGCTGATGTTCTTCTTTGGCTGAGGTCATGGCATTGGGCTGTGTAATCTGGCTCTCAGAACACCCTGGGACCAGAAGGTGGCCTCTGCCCAGACAGAAGTCAGCATTTCCTGACGTCCTTAGAGTGGCGTGCTACCATGTACGCCACTCTGAGGGGTCACCCTCATTTTCAAAAGAAACTCAACCCTTAGAAAAACGTCTAGAGCTTGGCCAACATGATACAGCTTGTGCAGCTGAAGTTCAGATTGGAGGTGTCAGAAAGACAAAGGCCACTGGGCATCCTCAGCCCATCCCAGCTGCCACCTCTTGCATCATCAGTAGGCTAGGACCCAGAGTGGGTAGGTGCAGCCTCGGGAGAGAGTGGAGAGTCAGCAAACCCCTACCAAGGAGGGACTTAGCATTCTTCAAACCCTCCAAGCTCTCTCCTGGTTGTAAACCGTCACTCTGTATGTCTTCTGCACACTTACGTGCCCACAGCTTCCATCCTTTTCTCAGGGCTTCAGTCAACACCTGTCCCAGCCTCTTGTGTCCATGTTATTCTCAGTGCACACTGTGGCTCATGCATCTTGTGTCTCTTGCTGCCCCAGCATCTGTGTGCGTAACCATTGCCCGCTTTTCCCCAGCTAGACTTTGAGCTTCCTGAAGATGAGAATGGTGTCAAGTCCCCGCATGGGGAAGGGAAAATGGACACAGAGTCCAACCCCTAACCAAGAAGCTAATTGCAACTGATAGCTGCTAGGAAAGGGAAAGTTTTCTTCAATGAGTGGCACTGCCTATATCGGACACATATCAGGGCAGGCCTCATGCTTAGGAGTAGTTGGGCAACACAAAATAGACTCCATGGTTTTTATGGTGTGTATGTGTGTGTGTGTGTGTGTGTGTTTAAGAGAACAAAAGAACATGAAGTTGAATTCATGGTGGGGATGCTCAGAGTAGTTGGGAGAGTTGAAAGAACATAATGAAACTATATTGTATGAAAAGTTTAAAAAATGTTTTCTTACTATAGGGACCCTCAGGACCTGGCACAGTACCTGGCACATAGTAGGCCCACAGAAAGTGCTTATGAAATGATGAAATCAGGGTAGTTGCCTTCTTGCTGTCTTGAGACTAATTGAGCTGATGTGTCCAGCAATGATTCTGTTTTAGGTTTGTTTTAAGTTGGATATAATTCCTTTTGAAAAGACACCACAAAAGTTGGAATTATTTTAAAGACAAATAGCCACAAGAGTGGTAAGTTGGGCAAATAAATGGGGCACAGAGAAGATCTTCAAGGAGCACAGATGTCTAAATTCCACCTCCCAGCACCATTCACGGGCATTTGTTCTCAGGATGTGGAGTTTTCTTTGAATAATCAAATAAGGTTCGAACCTGTGCTGGCCAGTTCTGTGTCAGCTTGACAGAAGTTAGGGTTCTCTGAGAAGAGAGAACCACTATTTAGAAAACACACCCACAAAACTGGCCTTTGGACAAGTCTGTGAGGGTACTGTCTTGATTAATGGTTGCTGTGGTAGGGCCCAGCCCACAGGAGGCAGTGCCACCCCTGACTGGGGGTCCTGGGTTCTCTAAGAAAAGGGCAGGACAAGCCACGGAGGGCTAGCCAGTGAGCAGCACTCCTCCGTGGCCTCAGAGTCAGCGCCTGCTTCCAGGTTCCTGCCCAGACTTCCTTTGTGATGGACCGAGACTGGGACACGTAAGGAGAAATAAATTCTTTTGTTCTGGAATTGCTTTGGCCCATGATGCCTTATCACAGCAACGGAAAGCCCAGCAAGAGAAAATCCCTACTAACAAAAGCCACTGAAGCCAGGCAGTGGTGGCGTACACCTTCAATCCTAGTGCCAGGGAAACAGAGACAGGCAGGTGGATGTCTGTGAGTTCGAGGCCATCCTGATCTACAGAGAGAGTTCCAGGGCAGCCAAAGCTCCACAGAGAAACTCTGTCTCAAACAAACAAACAAACAAACAAACAAACACCAAACAACTCCCCTCCCCCCCAAAAGAAAGAAAAAAAGAAAGAAAGAAAAAACCTAAATGAAATTAAACAGCAAGGGCACGACTGAGGGTCAATGGTCACTCAAGAATGTCACATTTCCCTTATTGAGCAGCCAGACTGTGAGCGCATCTGTAACGCAGGCGCCGTGATTGCTGCTCATGTATGCAGGTCCCTCCCGTCCTCAGCATCTCCACATGCATAAAATAATTTCATGGAACCACGTTCCCGGGTTTCCTCGTGCGTATTCACTTTCTGCTCACCCATTCCCATCGCCGTCTCCGAGGACGTGCCTGCACACAAACCGCAGCAGGTGTCAAAGGTTTAAAAAGATTAAGGAGGAAAAAAAAAATCGAAACTGATCAAGTCCTATCTTCCCCCCCCCCCCCCGGAAATTGAAGAAGCGACAGTCATTATGTCATTTGGGGAAAAGAAACATCAATAGCTCTTTGTGAGCTGGTGCGGCCTTTTCAGGAGATCGCTCAGCTCAGCGCTTCCTAGACCATGGCCAGCGTCAGTGGCTCCCTGGAGGGTCACAGACGGACTTCAGGGATTCAGAATCCTCCTCTAATTATATGTAACATCTTACGCCCATTATTCTCATGATCATCGTTCCTGGGTGGGTGTGGGGGAGAATTCATAGCTTTCACTTTATTCTAAAATGAATCCGTGATACAAACAAGATTAAGAATTGATATGTTACAGGAAGCAAAAAGTAATGAGGAAAAAAGTGTATTATATATATTTGCACCTCTCTTTCTCTCTTTCTCTGCCCCCCCCCCCCCCCGTGTGTGTTGTGCTCGCACGTACGAATTCAGTTCCCCCTTTCAGGTATTTGCTTGGGTTCCCTGACCTGTGTCCAGTCCCTTAAACTCTCCCTATTCTAACCTCTTGCCTTGCCTTACACCTCCTTTCATGCCCCTTCAACTGGCACCCCGATCCGTCTGTAATTTTGTATTCCCATTCAGACCACAAGCTTTGTGAGGGCAAATGCCTGGTACACAACAGTTGAGGTGAATGAATGGTGGGCCTGTGTTCACGTTTTGGCTCTTGGCCTCCTCCCACCTCTGCCAGGAAACTTTCTCCATGCAATATGGGGACTGCCCTGGTGCCCGTGGGTCAGGACCGGCTGAACTCTCTTTCAAAAGGAACCCTTCGGCCTCTGTGAACCCCTTTCTCTTCTGTAACCACGGAACTCAGCCCCTGAGGCCTGATGGAGCTCCTTGGCTGCACATTCCTGGAATAGGAGTCCCCGAGTGTCTGTGAAGGAAGTGGTTACCAGGCTTCTCCTTGGGTTGCTTTGCTCATGCTCCTTCCAAGCTTCCTGGAAGGAGCATGTCACCTGGCAAGCTCACTCCTGTGTGTGGCGGGTTCCCATCGCCACCTGCCACCTCTAGCCTAGTGGGAGCGGCCCTGCAGGGGCCTCTGTCTCTCATCAGTGCTTGCCTCGCTTGAAGCTACTTTCTAGGCATGTTCACGGTTAAAACATTCACAAAAATAGCTTCAAGCTGGAGAGGGGAAAATAAAATAACTCTGGTGTTTCTGCCAAAAACAACAAAGCAACAGCCGGTGCGCAGCCAGCCCAGTCCCTGGCACAGCTCAGATGCTCACAGAAAAACTCACTCCTTTCGCTCCACTGACTGCAGGCGCCTGGTGGACTCTATCTGAGAGGCCTGGGGCCACGCACCCGTCGGTTTATCTCAGCCTCCAAGGCCACCAAGAATCCAGCCTCGAGGTGTGGACATGTGACTGTGCTCTCAACATCGTCTCTGTGTCATCTCTGGTGACTGCTTAGACTGTGACACATACTTGAGTGTCCTCTGCAGCCCTGACCCCTCCTGACCGTCACTCTGAAAATGTCTCTATATACATTTCTCAGGATAATTGTTTGAAATGATAGCACAAAAATACCCCACCACCCACTCAAAGTTAGGCTATCTTTTGTTAACAATGGACTAATCCATACCTGGATATTGGTTTGTCCTTTTGAATTGTGTGTGTGTGTGTGTACATTTAAACATGTTAAGTACATAGACTTGCCCTAAACTGAACAAAGCCAGAATACCCAAATCAGAAGAAATACATAGATGTGTGAGACCCAGAGCAATACAAATCTCTCTGAACAGTCTTTGCCCCATTACAAAATGATCCCTCTCCCTTATTTATTTTCTTCCTCGAAGGAAGCTAGAAATCCATTGAAGCAGTTCAAATAGCATCCTCAGTTATCAGTTTTTAAAAATGTATGAAGTTGTTAAATTGGAAGAAGGCAGAGGCATCAGCCAGGATCCTAAATATCCAGATAGACACTTCACTTTGTTCCTGTCCCTGATGGGAGCAAGTCTGAGGCCAGCCTTCAGATCCTTCTCCTTCCGCATTTGTCAGTCTAGCTACCAGTGGGACACTTCCAGTTGGGTGAAGTGAGGGGTGAGTTTATCTCAGGAGAGACGTTTATAGCCTGGCGTAGTCTTGGAAGAAAGATCACTTTTGGCCCTTTTTTTTTTTTTTTTTTTTTTTTTTGCTTTAAGTGAGTCATCATGGTAGGTCTACAAATAGAGCTGAGATCCTGGCAGCTGAGTACAGCTTAAGCACGCTCGCTCACTCTGTGGGTGACCCCCAGACCAGTCCCTTCACACCCCAGTAGGGGCTATTCATTTGGAAAACAAGGACAATGGGCCATGCGGCCCCATAGGATGAATAGTTGCCCATAAAGATGCTTACCTCCTGGTCCCTGGAACTTGTGACTCTACATAGTAAAAGAGCCTTTGCACATGTGCCAGAGGGAATAACCTGGCAATGAAGCAGGTTGTCCTGGACTGCCTGGTGGGCCCAATGGAGCCACAAGGAGCCTTTAAAAGAAGAGAGGGCACAGTAGGGGAGGTCAGAGCTGGAGGGCGATGTGACTGTGGAAAGTCCTGGTTATGTGATGTGAGAAGAGTTAGCAGTCATAGCTAACTTGAAAGAAGGAGGAGGGGGCCACGAGTCAAGGAACATGGTGGGTGTCCACAGGCTGGAGGAGGCAAGAAAGTGTATCCTCCCCAGGAGCTTCTAGAGAGAAATGCCATATTGCCGTCACCTTAGCCTGGCGAGACCCATGCCAGACCTTAGAGAGCAGTGAGATGATAATGCCATTCTGCATTCTTAAGAATTGTCAACAGTTTGGGCAACCCTTCTATAGCAAGTTTAGGTGTACCTGTGTGTGGGGTTGGGCACTGCTGTGGACTCTTTCCCCAAACCTTGAAAAGGACTTGGAGGGGGTCTTCTGTCACCTGGCCCTGCCCCTTCCCCTCACACAGGTAAGTTATTATCATCCTCAAATCAAGAGAGTGACCCCAGAGAGGGTCAGGGGATCACCACAATCAGCTATTGAGAGAAGAGGGTCATGGGCCACAGTTGCAAACTCCCTAGTTATGATATTCTTCAGTTCAGGACACTGGAGCAACCACAGTGTGATGAGGAGGTGAGGGGAGAGAATGAGACAGCGTAGGGACTGGAACCCCGAAGCCCTGTCCTGTCCTGTTCTATCCATGCATATACACATGGGAGTAAAGACACAAGCCACATCAGACCCGTCTCCACAGCTGGGGCAGACTCTGGGTTAGGAGTGGGAGGGATTTAGGGTGGGAGGTAAAAACCTAACCTAAAGGATCTGTCACCATAACAGCAGCATGGGTTGATTCTGGCCAAACAAGAAGTTCTCATTTGCCATCCAGAGGCTTCAAAGGGGGCAGGCAATTGTGGTCAGCAAAGGTACCTTCAACCTTGTGTCTCATTTGGATATCCTATTAGGAGTCACAGAGAACAAAGTGCTGCTGATGCGAGCGCTGGAGGGAGAAGGTAGGTCAGGCTCATGGGGGAGAACACTGGGCTTGAAAGAGGGTCATGTGGCGGTGAGTGAGAGGCCACACTGGGTCTAGTTCCAGCCTGAACTCACAGATAGGGGAGCCAGGGCACCAGACAGGGCACAGGGACCCTGGAAGGTCTCTGCTAAGGTTCTGTTTTGTTTTGTTTGTGGTCACAGGTAGCCTTCTCTGTCTCTCCCTGTTTTATAATACATTACGTTGGGTGATATTCTGCAGAACACAGGTTTTGGCCTGTTAGTGGGTCATGTAATCAACCAACAAAGTTGTGACTTAGGATAAGATGAGATGCATAGTGCATACATCTTATAAAGGTAAACAGTGCTGGTGAAACCCAGTAAACCTCCTCCGTAGCTTCTGGCTGGCAGGTCTGCGGCTCCCCTTAGCCTGTGGGGACAAAGACCTCGATGCAGAGAAAAGGCAGAGTGATGTGGCCACTTCCACAAGACCAGCTTTTAATATGACTGTGGTTCGAAGCACGAATAAATAAAACTCCAGAGAAAATGGAAAACCCAAACCGAACCTTAGAACATCGAAACCGAAGACCATAAAAAAAAAAAAAAACGAGGCAAAACAAATTTTCAGTAGACGAACAAAAACAGCCCCCGCCCCAAACAAAAGGAAAGAAAACAAAACGGAAGAGATCAGACTCTACAGCTGTGTCACAGGGAGAGAACGACGTGGCTCCATGGACGAATACTGGGGTCACCCAGGCCACCGTATCACCTCCAAGGGTGCTGGGATAAGAAAGAGGTTGGCACTGGTCACCTTTAGTGCGGGAGCCCCACGGGCCAGTTTGGGGACAAGGCTAAGAACCTTCACAGACAACACAAGGATCAAACATTGTAGAGAGTTCTGTGGTTTCCTTCTTGACTGTGCAGTTTCAGTTCCAGAGCTGGGCTCAGGCTGACTTCGGGGCTGAAACCTGGCCCCACTGCACGGGCAGCGGAGTGGGCTCTGGAAACCACACGGAGAAGATACGATGTACAAGACAGAAGTGGAGATGGCGCCGTAAGAAGTCTGAGCATGCAGGTGCTTTGTACATCTGGCAGTGAGATGTGATGGCAGGTTAGTTCTTGGACAGTTCCGGAGTGTGACTCATCGGTCCTACGAGGGACACGTGGCAGGGCCCGGGATGGTTCATGTCGGATGTGGCCAGAGTGAAGTTTGGCAGAAGTTCGCAATGTGTGGATGGGGGGGGGGGGGCTCTTGCTTCTCTCTGTCATCAGGGGCTATCCCACCTGAGCTTGCTGTCCCCTGTCCTGGGTCTTGGGCCTTTAAGGTCTTTTTGGAGGTGCTGGGCTGCCTGAAAGGTGTCAGCAGGCAATCTCCTCCAGGGTGCCCAAGGCTGTCTGCAGGGGCACGTTCACAGTGTGGCTGATGGTTTCAGAGTGGTTTGGCATTGTGTCACAGGTGCTCTGCCGGGAAAGGAAAGGGGGCACGTGTCATTCGTTCAGAAAAAAAAAAAAAAAAAAATCTACTGCCAAGTCCTGTGAAGCAGTTTGGGAACCTCTAAAGCAGTGGTTCTCACCTTCCTGAAGCTGCGACCCTTTAATACAGTCCCTCATGTTATGGTGAACCCAAACCATAGAATTTTTTGGCTGCTACTTCCTAACTGTAAATTTGCTACTGTTACGAGTCCTAATGTAAATATCTGATATGCAGGATATCTGCTATGGGACCCCCAAAGGGCTTGTGCCCCACAAGCTGCTCTAAAGGTCAGGATGGAGGCTGATCAGAGCCGCAGGGTTGGCCCTGGGGAAACAGTAGAGTCACTGGGTAGGGTGGACCCGAGATGGTCTGCATGTTCCGAAGCTCCCAGGCTGTAGTGTGCAGATGGATGAGAGAGGAGGGAGGAGGCAGGGCCAAGTGGGAGACAGTGTCAGGGGTTTGGTGCTGTGGTCAGGGTGAAAGGAGTGGGGTGTGGTTTGGGAGGATTTGATGGAGACAGAGCTTCGGGGAGGGGAAACAGGTAAAGAGCGGTTATAACTCTGAGACAGCCTAAGGGAGGTGGGGAGGTGGCTTTTGGAGAGGACTTGCTGCCTGTGAAAAAGGCGTACGATGTCTCTTAACCCCACGCAGGCCCTCTAAGGCTTTATGGTCCTATGCATCTGCTTAGGGAGGTTAAGGAACTTCCTCCAGGCACACAGCTAGGGCTCAGAGGGCCTAGGCTGTGGCCAAGACAACTGAGACCACAGCCTAGGCGCTTTGCCTCTTTGCTGCTCTCTCTCTTAGCAGAGGCTTGCCTTCTGTTCAACAGAGGCTTCAGGAGCCCAGAGAACTCAGAGCCAGCTTGCTTGTTTGGGAGCGGTGTAATGACAAGACAGTATCTGGAACAGAAATGGGAGCCCATCAGCCAGGGCTGAGCTCCATTTGGGACCAGTAAATTTTTTTGCGAGGCAGTGGCTGCTCCAAGGCTGATTTGGGGTACAGTACTGGGAAGAAAAGCCTGAGATACCTGCCTCAGTCAACCAAGACCTGACTGAGCCTGGAGTGGGAGGAGCTATGCAAAAAGAATGATTGACAGGCATGAAAGTGAAAGGTGCTGCCCCTGGCTATAAAGAAAAGGCAACGTGATGCCACCATGGTTAGAGGCACTTCAAGTTTAGCCCTCCTCACGTAAAAGCATGTGACTCTGGCCTTTGGGCCTCAGTGGCATCAAAGGCAAAAAGAAGGTAAAGATAGATCTTTGTCTATGGTGGCTGCTATGACAAGACCCACATGGGCGCACAGAATGGTACCCTACCTGCAGTCAGAATACAGCGGTCAGTAGCCATAATGTGTATGGCCGTTGCTACTACTAACTGCTTGGGCCTCCTACTCGGTGTCCCCTTCGAATGGATGGAGGTCGGTGACACCGTGCAGTTCCCGCTCTCAGGAAACACGGAAGTAGACATATGTAGGGATTCTCTTGTAAGAGTGTGGAAGGCGGGGAGTAACCCCGTGGCCTGACGAAGGATCTACCCTAGGAAACACCTCTTGGGGTCAGCTCCACTCATGGCCGAGCCCTTGAATTCTGGGTTGTGGCCTAGCTGGAGTGTCCTTGGATTTGGCGCATGAGAAGGTGTCTGTCTAGGGCCATGGGAAGATATGCAGATTCAGGTCCTTCCTGCCTGGCCTTGTGTCTGGTTACGTAGCCTACCCAAGCCGTTCTTACCATGTTTTCATCATGGCTCCCTTCCTCCTCTTCTTTGCCGAGCAGGTCTAATAGCTTCTCTTTGATCAGCTGTAAGAAAGACAGGATGTGGACAGTCAGGCTGGGAGGAGGATGCAAAGGCCAGAGACCCTTCCTACAGGCTGAACCGGGAATCACACAGACAGTGACTGTGTGGGCTGTGGCTATACAGGCTACATGGCAAGAGCTCTGCCCGGTGGACAGCTCTGGAGGCCTCACGCTCTTGCCTTTTGGCCTCCATGTGATTCTGTTGCTCCAACCAGAGCGTGGAGCGGGGTGAGCGAGAGCTCTGACTTGCTGTGTGGACTGCTTTCTCCAACAGATAAGCTAAAGGTGCTGGTAGGCCCAGTTCCCCATGGGTCTTAGGAAACACTCAGGGACCTCTTTCTCACTGTGTAGCTCAGACTGGCCTCAAGTTCACCATCCTCCTTCCCCAGCATTGAGATTACACATATAGGCCATCACACCCAGCTTCAGTATTCATTTTCAAGGGCTGATGCCTCCATAAGATGAGGGCATGCCCAAGGTCAGAACTCTTTACTTGTAGCAATTAAGGGTAGTTCTTAAATATGCTATCTAACATGGCTCAATTTGCCATTCACTTTTCATGGGAATTAATAACTAAGGCTTGTAGTCATTATGCTGAGAGACGTACAAGTCTCTGGACTGGTCACAAGGGGCTCTGAAATTATTGCTGGTTTTTTTTTTTTTTTTTTTTTGCCTCCCCTGGGAGGCACAATGAGGGCCTGAGAATCAGAATCCCGAGGGACTGTGTGGTGTGGGTGAGTGTGCTGTAGGAGCTTTGGAACCACCGCCTGTTTCAATTCACACCATCCCAGTGTGAGTTGCCCGTCCGTGACCAGGGACGTGGAGGTCTCCAAGCCATCACTGGGGTAGGGTGGCGCTGGCATGAGCCTATTCATAGGTGGGTTAGCCCACTAGCTCAGCTTTTCTTTAAGTTTTCTGCCCAGATTAACCCTGGGAAGGGTAGTCTGGGGCAGGCTTCCTCTTGCCTGGGGTTAGGAAGTTGCAAGAGCTGATATGCTCCCAGGCCTCTGTTTTCAAATCTTTCAGAAACATGGCCCCAGGTGCCTTTAAGGATTATATTTTTCCAGATTGAGGTTGATGGGGATTCCTGGGATATGCCCCTTCCTGAGGGCTGGCTAGGCCATGGAAGACAGTACTTAGAAAACATGCCAACCAGAGAATAGGCTTGTGGGCAGTGCACATCCTGAGTGTGTTGTGTGGTATGTAGATCTATGAATATGGTCTGGACGTGTGTGTGTGCGCACGCGCACACATGAATGCATGTGTTACATGTGTGGTATATGTATGCTTAAGTGTGATATGTGTATGATGCATCTGCATGTAACATGTTGGGCATGTGGTATGTTGTATACAGATGTGGATGCACTGGAGCATGAAACCTGGCCCCACTGTGGAAGGGCCTCAGGGTTTGGCCTCTTCTCATCTTTTTACTCCCTCTCTATGGCCTAGGACAAGTCCAAAGACAGGAGCATGGCCGCCATTTCTTTCACATCCACCTCCCCTTAAGACTCCTGCCCTATGCTTAGGAGAAGTGGCTTTGTGTGGGTGGAATGAAGCTATTGCCTCAGCCACGCTTGGTGCTGAGTCTGGGTGTTTCACCATTTGGTCATTTCCCCAAGGGTAGCCCCAAATCTTACCTCATAAATATAATCAAAGAGCTCTAGTATTGTAAGGATACTAGCACCAATAAACAATCCCATCTGACCACCAATGTCACCTGCAGAGGAAGGGAAAAGACCAGAGAACGGGTTTTACACACAGATCCAGGAAGGGGTGAAGAGATGATGAATCCAGAAGCCAGAGCTCTTGAGTGTACCCCCTCCAAGGGAAGCCTGGGCCTTGCCACAGGAAAGCCAGTCCTCTGACAGGCCCTCCTTCACTTCAGTTGGCACTGAGAGCCAAGTATGTCACTAGCCAGCAGGGTTGGAGCTGGTCATTCACTGATGAGGATCATGGGTCTGTATAGGGAGCAAAGTCCTGAGCGAATATTATTATTGACATGGACACTGCCATGCCAAGAACCCCAATGCCACTACTTCATGGGAGTGGCAAAGCCTGCTCTGGGTGAGGCTCAGAGGGATGGCAAAGCCCGCCTGTGGTCTGAGTGTGAATGTTGATGGTGTGTGCAGAAAATGTCCACCATCGCTTTCTCCCCCAGATGTTAATGGCTGAGGAGTGCTCCCACTGAGATTAGGGGAACCTGCCTCCTTTTTCAGCTGCATATAACAACCCCAGCTCCTTCTTCAGCTGTTTGTAATAGCCAGGCTAATTTGTCTAGCTGTATGTGATAACCCTACCTCCCTGGGCTCAAGATGGCTTCCTTTTGTTCCCTTCCATCCCAGCACAAGCTCACTGGGCAGTGGGTCTGTCTGTGTGCGTATGTCAGGTATGAGGTCTGCGTTGGCATGGGGGCACAGCTCAGCTGGAATGCAGTAAGGCTGGACAGGGTGCGGAACGTGTGCAGGCAGCCCGTCTGATCGTTGATTGCTTTATGTGAGTGCCCACCTCTGACTCGGCGCACAGAATGTGCCCGCGTGTGTGTGATAAGCGTGTTCCCGAGTGTGTACAAGATGTACGGGGATTGCGTAGGTGTAGGTGTGTTCGATGAGTATGTGGGCATATAGGCATGAAATGTGTCTGCCTAGGTTTGCTGTGTGCACGGATGTGGCTCTGAAGCTATACAGTGGGCCATGGGGCTGTACAGGCATGTGTATGTGTATGTGTGTTGGTGCTGGAGCATCATGGGTACATGGATACATAAGTTGGTTTCAGTGTGCATGTTGTGTGTGTTAACACGGAGTTAACATGGAGTGCTGTGCATATAGGGTAGTGGCGAGAGAAGGCTGAGCTGGGCCTGATGGCTGAAGGTTTGTATGTGGCACATACTTCCCTCACAGGAGGCACAGATGGCGGCACCATTTCTTAACGGGCTATTCTGGGTGGGAACAAGATGCTGGGAATAAGCTCATCCTTATATTGGATGCAGATATGACAGATTCAAAGCCTGGACCCTTTTTGCACTCTGTGTGTGTGTGTGTGTGTGTGTGTATGTGTGTGTGTGTGTGTGTGTGTGTGTGTGTGTGTGTGTGCTCACGTGCGCGAGTGTCTGTGAGAGGGAGGGGAAGGGAGAGGGAGAGAAAGGGATAGGGAGGGAGAGAAAAGGGGAGAGGAAGGGAAAGAGAGGAAGAAAGAGAGGGGAGGGAGAGGGAGGAGAAAGAGCAAGGAAGAGAGGGAGGAGGAGAGAGCACCAGTGCAATCGCATGCAAGCTTGATCCTCCCTGGGAAGGGAAGGGGAAAGCTCAGTCAGACTTTCCAGAGGTGAGGGAGGGGCGTGGCCTGTGCTCTGTGGCTCAGGGCTTTTAACCACAATAACTTCTGAGGCCTAGGTGACAGCTACCTCCATAAAGCTGGCACTGAACAAAGGCTTTGCCCCGATCCTCCTAGATGGAGAATAGAAGTGTTCACTGGCCCCTGGTCACACCAGATGGGACTGGGTTCCGCCATAGTGACTATCCAGGTGCCACAAACTGCTACTGATGGACTTGATCTGAGCTAACTGCCACAGTGAAGTAGGCGTGATGGTTCGTCTCCACTGTCCACTTGACTAGATTGAGAAGCACCTATGACACTGGTAAAGCATGCCTGTGGGTGAGTGTCTAAGGACATCTTAAGACAATTAACTAAGAGGAAACAACTTTGATTATGGGACGCACCAGCCAATGGGCTGGGGGGGGCCTGGAAGGAATAGAAAGGGAAGAAGGAAAAGGAAGAGAGTCTGCTGGCACAGGCATATTTATCCCTCCCTCTCTACTTCCCACCTCCTTCCTTCTCTCCTTCACTCCCTCCCTTCTTCCCCTCCCTCCCTTCTCTTTTCTCTCTTGTCTGGCTGCCATGATGGTAGCTGCTCTATTTCATCATGCTGTTTCCACCAGGCTGGACTGAAAACACTGAAATCATGAGCCCAGACAAGTCCTTCCCTTCTTAAAGTTGTTTTGCTCAGGCCTTTTCAGTCATGAAAAGTCAGATGCACACAGTGGGTGATAAGAATCAGTAAGGGGAAACCCCTCTCATCTCCTCACAGATGGCTCTGAGAAGTCCTTAGCTTGAAAGCCCGCTTTTCCTTCTATACTTTCCGGTGGAACCTGCCCCTCCCACAGTGTTGTTATCACTTAATTCAGTCTCAGGGACAACAGCCTTTACTCCTAAGCACCCTGTCCCTTCTACGGAGTGGGTAAAGACGAGGTGGCACAGGTTGAGGGGGCTGATCCGTTGACCAGAATGTGAGTGTCCAAATGGGCCAGGGCGGGGTTGAACTTAGTTCCATCAGGACCAGGGCAGGCAATGTATGGGAACAGCAGGCAAGTTGGTGGCCATCTGGAGAGATCAGCTCTTCTTTCCTGTTTGAGAAAGGGCTCTGGGTCCAGGGCACAACCCTCGGCTTCTCAGTGCATTGCTGTCCTGGCTTTATCAGGGACCCTGAAAGTTTGGATGCCTGGTGATCTCCGAAGTTGAACATCCCCTCCTTCCACGATTCTGCTAGCATTCAGGCCCTGGAGACAGAAACTTTGGGAATCCAAGAGGGCAGGCCTGGAAAGGTTCTGTGAGACCTTTGTGTTCGCCCCTCACCAGACAGAGGAGACCAAGGCCTAGGCTGAAGGCTGACCTGGACCCATAACCTCCACCACAACTACCACAGAGAGAGTAACTAGTACATTAGAAAGTTTGCCTCCTTAGGAGGCTTACATGTCTCTCTGCCTGCCTCCCGCCCACCTCCCCACTCCCACCCCTCCTAAGAGACGTGGAAGTTGATTTGACAGACATTACAACTCACCAAGTAAGGCAGCCACTTCATACGCCTTCTTCTGTTCAATTGTCTCGTAATTGAGCGCTTCAAAAAATATATCCAGAACAAGAATGTTCTCTCTGCAGAGGAAAAATTAAGCACCGCACGCAGTTAGAACCCTCATCATTCACGGATGGGCTAACCTAGCTTCTCTGTGGATGGATGGGGAAGGAGAGGCCCAGGGAGATGCCCGACGATAGAACTCTAGAATCAGAGGCTCCTATCAGCTGTCCCTGTTCGTCTTTACCTCTACTCCACTCTATCTTGGTATCCTTCCTGGGAGTCCAGCCTGGACCCAGGAAGGGCCGTGTCTTCCAGGGCCAGCTTGGTTCTTAACATGCGAACGAGTCTAGCAGTCTCCTGACTGGCCTGGCCTCAGAATGGGTGCCTGCCCCTGCTGAACACCTAAGCAGTTATAGTCCATTCCCGAGAGTCCCCATTTTCCTCCTGAGATCCCTAACAAGTCTCTTGGGGTGGGAGTCCCTAACCTGGCATCTCTCAGTCTTTTGCCAGAGTTGGGGAGAATGGTAGGGAGCAGGCCTGTGGCAGGCTGGGGAGTTCCTGGCAGAAGCCCTGGGCTCCTCCTGTGCCTCTCCCGCAGGCAGGTGTGTTAATGAGACACATCTTGGCAGGGAAACTCATTCCTGCTTGTGGAATGTCTGCTAAGCAGCAGGGCCTGGGGTTTCCTACACTGCAGTCTCTTTCTGGGGGGCTTGGCTTGCCCCCCATGCCCTCTGCACCTCTTGTTTTGAACCTATTGAGCAGAAATCATCCCAGGAAGGGGCCTGGCGGCTGTCCTGGAATGGAAGAGTGGCCAGGAGAGAAAGAAGCAAGTGTCTGTCTTTCCACACGGTGGAACTTCACAGCAACGAATAGGCCCCGTTCCCCCCATCTGCCTTCTTCCCTGAATACCACCCGGAGGGTCTTTCTGAAACTGTTACACTGGTTCAAATGAAAGATGATCCCAATTCAGCTTCTTGTTCATACAAACTCCACTGCACATGCCCCACGTGTGCCACGTGTGGCCAGTGCTTACCACACTGTAGTAGCCTCGGCTATAGACTCATTATTCCAGAGCGTTCTGTTGGGGAGCTGAGTTCAAGAGCACAGTTTTGACAAAGGCCACTGTCGTGGCTCTTGTTTGCCCACCCAAACCAGGTAGTAAGACCTAACGGTAGAGACCTCACACGTATTTTGGTGGCAGGCATAGAGGACCAGGCAGGAACTGAGTCGGAAGCTTCCTCTTTGCTGGCCACCTTTCAAAGTGCCCTGCAGGTACTGAGACAGAAAAGCCATCCATGGTCTAACCCAGCGAGATACACCACCAGCCAGCCGGGGAAGACATACCCTCTGGTGCAAAACGCTATGGAGGTTTTGGGATAACCAACTGCTTTCTGATTGTGTTTGAGGCCTTGTTCCCCAAGAGGGGAATCTATACTTGCCACCATATAAAGCTTCTCAAAAGCCCACGGCTGGGGAGATCACAGCCCCTGCCTTTCCTGGGTTGGGGGAGAATCTAGAACGGACATGTGTCAAGCTGCCTTCTTCTAAACCTAATTATAACCCCCCTCACCTTCAGCTCAACCTATATGATCTGTGGCATATCCATCTTTCACTATGTCTCTAACGTACCTTGTGGCAACGTGGTCTTAAGCCCCCACCAGGGCGCTGTATCCTATTCATTTTACCCTGTGAAAATGATTTTTTAAAAATTTATTTTTTTATTTTTTTCACCTGAGGTCTGGCCCAGAAGGGTCAGTCGTACTTGGTAGAGAGTAAAGGACAAAAAGAAGTTCCTGGCATTAGGGAGCTTCCCACTATGATGAGTGTGCAGGGTGGCAATAAAGGAGGACTCAGGGTGGGAAATTATAAGTTAGAATGTGGGGAGGGGGCTGTCTGTTTAGTTCTTCTAAGAGACCAGATCCCACAGTCTGAGGAAATGAGACTGAGTCCTCCTGCCCAAATCTCCGTCTCTGGGACGGGCTAGGAAGCTGTCTGTGCTGTGGCTGACAGATCTTCACCTATGGATCCTGGCTCCATCATGCTGCTTGCTTTGTATGCTATCCCAAACTAACTCACATATTATGAAGTCCTTTTCAGCTCCTGAAAACCTACCAAAGTCAGCCAACCCCCCAGTCTGGGGGATTTGTCTGAAGGCACTCTTCTTTGGGTCCCTCCCCATGTTCTAACTCCCACCTCTGTCACATTGGCTCTCATTTTTCTTACTCTCACTTTAAGCTATACCTGTCAATGAGGCTCCTTTCCAGGCTTTAAAGGAAAGCCCCTCTTTCTCTATAAGGCACCAGCACATGGTTTTTGACATGCTGTTGTTTCTTTCTAATACTCTCCCACTTTAAGGTCTGATTATGGTTTTGGATCTTTCTCCTGATTATTTTCCTCCTCCTCCTCCTCCTCCTCCTCCTCCTCCTCCTCTTCTCCTTCTCCTCCTTCTCCTCCTCCTCCTCTTCTTCTACTTCTTTTTTTCTTCTTCTTTTCAACAATTTGTGTGTGTGTGTATCTGTGTGTCTTGGTGTGTATGTGCATGCGCACGCAGAGGTCAGAAGAGGGCGTCAGATTCCTTGGAGCTGGAGTTACAGACCTTTATTTCTGAGCTGCTTGAGTCAGGTGCTGACATCTGAACTCCAGTCCTCCCGAAAGAGCAATAAGCACTCTCAATGGCTGAGCCATCTCTGTATTCCCACCCTACCTCCCAAACCTAAATCTTTTTTGTTTCGTTTTCAAAGACAGGGTTTCTCTGCATAGCCTTGGCTGTCCTGGACTCACTTTGTAGCACCAGGCTGGCCTCAAACTCACAAAGATCAGCCTGCCTCTGCCTCCCTCAGTGCTGGGATTAAATGTGTGTGCCACCATGCCCAGCCCAGACCTAAATCTTGAAGGATGGTTGTGTCAGCTCCTTTCCTGAAGGAACTGCTTATTTAACTGCAAGTCACACTGCCGCAATATTATAAGGGAAAGCATCATGGTGCCAGGGGAAAAAATAAAATGGGGGAGACAGTAATCTAACTTTCTAAGGCAGTTCTACTCAAATGGGAGACAGGTACCACAAGGAACCAGCTAGGAAGAGTGGCAGGAAAAGTGTTCCCGGAAGAGGGAGCAGAAGGCTCAAGAGCCACCAGGAGAATTATACATTCCTTAGAAAGGTCAAGCTCCCCCTGGACCTCACCCTGAGCAATCTGCAGTCGACCTCGGTGTCTCCCCGCATATCTCAATTATAACCAGCCAACACTGTCCCAGACGTCATTGCCCTATGTGGCATTCAATCCTGCACTTATCTCCCCAGGGGGCTGCAAGCTCTTTGTGGCTTTGTCTTCTGAGCTTGGCACACAGCAGGCACCCAATTAGCGTTTGCTAAATTGAGCTAACTGCTTGCCTTTTGCCTCTTTCTGCACGGCCCCCCTCCCCACTTTCCCCCTTCCCCCCCTCTCCGCTTAACTTACGAGATATATTTCTCTGATTTGTTAAATTTCTTCTCCAGGTACTTGGCTGAGGTCTTGCTGGGGATCTTCACCATGGAGAGCTCTTTGTTGTAGCGGGTCAGGTTGCAGGGTGTCCTGCAGAGACAGTAATTGCTGTCCTTTTCGGCCAGAAGACCTGCAGGAGAGAGAAGAGGGTCTCAGGCAGAGGGTGGGGGCGAGGATCGCTGGCCCGGCACAGCTAAATTCTAGGTATTAAGAGGCAAGCTGGGAGGGGAAGCTGGGCCCCGTGAAATTGGGGTAGGGAATTGCCGAGATGGGGAGTGTGTCTTGGGCTTGTTTTTCTTCTGCTTATTGTTACTGTCCCCTGTTACCTTCAAAACTATTGATCCACTGCCATTTTTCCAAGGGGGGAGCTAGCCCCTCCACTTCTCAGGGCTTCCTCCTCTGTGTCTAGCATCTGGCTCACCCTCACAGTGAGCCACCATGAAAGCTAATACGGAGAGCACTGTGCTTGGAACTCAGGACTTCATGCTGTCCCTGCCGGTGCTCTCCATAACCCAGGCCACACCCTCTGCCTGCTGAGAGGCTGCAGGATCCTTGGATTCTCTCCCTGGAGGCCCTCTCCCGGCAACACAACTCTATCTTTCCCCTCCTCTCCCAATCCAACCAGATCAGGTCAAAAGCACTGTTGTCCTTAGACTGACTCTTTTTTTTTTTGACCTCCACCCCCCCAAAAAAAAGGGCCTTTAGCCAGGCCCATGAGTTACTTCTTCATTGCTCAGCCTGGCTTTGGTGAGAAGTCTGTTAAAGGTAGCATAGAGAGAATTCTCACCTTGATACCCTGTCAACCTGGCCTGCTTCCAAGAAGAATCCCAGTCCTGTGAGTAGCAACACTCCCCTCCTCTGACATCCCCTCTGCACTCTTTCATCTCCTGACTTCTCCAAGTGCTTGCAGGTCCCTGGCTATCTGCTACATACTGAGATGAACCTTCTTTCTCTCCTACTGCAACAGCCTTGATACTTAATTGCAAGGGTTCAAAAGTTTCCTTATCATTAGGAAGAGTAATTGTTCCTTCAACCCTTTTCTCTCCTTCCCTCCCTCCCATCTTCCCTCTTTTGTTCTCCCTCCCTGCTCTGTCTCTGTCATTGGGTTTTGTTATCTTTATTCCATAGAAAGACTTTGCATACATTGTAAACTAACCATCCACCCCCCCTTCTCAGGCCATCTAGAACAGGAGTCTAGCCTTGCCTTCACTTAGCTGCTACAGGAACTGGAGTGAGCACTGTCTACAGTTCTGCCTGCATTTCCCTGGGGCTGGAGAGAGGAGAGGTGGACAGCAGGCCAGCTGCTGGACTATCTCAACCCTGTCTGTGTGCTTCTCTAGATGGCAGCCAGCAGTTATTTTAGTCCTCAAATGCCCTGGAGGCTATGAGAGGAGGGGTTAAGAGAAGTGGGGAGGTGGCCACTGCGGCTTGGTGGGGCTTGCACACAGGGAATGGGAGAGGACCTTTCTCTGCCACCTCCTCTCTCTTGGGCTCTGAGAATGGGAGAGCTATTTTCCCATGCTATTTTCAATAGTCTCTCTCTCTCTCTCTCTCTCTCTGTGTGTGTGTGTGTGTGTGTGCGTGCGTGTTGGCCTCACCAAGCTCTTTCATGTGACCCAGCAGCCCCCTGGGTACCCTCCCTCTATCTTTGCCCTCTCCCTGTATCCTCCATTCCTGATGGAATCTACTTCTCTTCCACTACCACCCCTATGCCTCCTTCCCCCCACCCCAGTGTCCTTTAGAGCCCTTCTCCACCATCATGGTTCCTTCCTCTCCTTTCTTCCTCTCCAGCTTCCAGCAGCTACTCCATCCAGAGCTTCTTTGTGCTTATCCCTTTACCATTCCTTTTTCCATGGTTGACTCTGTGTCTCTACCAGATGACCCCCCAATCTCCACCCCCCCCACTCCCTCTGTCCCCCAGTACTGACCAAGGGCAGGCTCTGCACACTCCTTGTGCTGCTCAGGGGTGCAGAAAGGGGCATCCCCTACAGGAAAGGAAAGCAAAGAGAGAAAGGGTATTAACCACATGGGCAGAGCCATGCATGCCAACGGCACCTCACTGACCCAGGGAGCAAGTGACTTCCAAACCCACAGCTGTCTTTAGGGGATGGTCTGATGGGTGCCACTGTTCAGTGTCATCAGATCTGGAGGTCACTTCTGATCTGCTCTCTGAGGAGGAGACCATGAGACCTGCTGGGCCCACTTCTGGTGGTTCTGGTGGGTGATGGGCCGACTTGTCTAGAAGACTGGGACAAGACAAGGTGGGGTGGGGTGGAGGGAGGTTTCTTCTAAGCCTGCGTCCATGTGGTCTCCTTGAACTGTTATGCTGGGCTTCCAGGTAGAAAAACATGGGCCTCAGTGTCGGCATTCCAGACAGCAAGCTGCTGGCGGTAAGGCAGGCTTGGAGTAGGAGTCAGTGCCATCTCAAGGTTGCTTTTTCTCAGCATATCACACTTCTACAAGTAACGAGGGGCGGCTCTGTGCCTCCTCACGGCTCATGATGTGTCCATCAGCTCACACAGTTGAGATGTCCCGGGTCATGTCATGGGTGGAAAGATTGCAGCCTTATTTTGTCTGCTTGCTTCTGGCTCGGGTTTTAATGGGAAAAAGCTTTTGGCTGGTGGTTTAGTCTGAGCATCAGGTGAGGAACACTCACTGAGGCTAGGCGTTTATCTCTGGGGACACTGTAGAACGCTAAGATCTCTCTTTTGTTGTTGGTTGTTTTATTTTCCCCTCTTTCCCCCCAGTGAAATGTTCAGTCAAGGTCCATCAGAAATGTTGTTTTTGATTCCCTACCCCCTGAACCTTTTTTTTCAGCACTGAAGAGCTGGTGCAATTCCCTTTTCCAATAATAATATGTGTTCTATTTTGCCCTGTCTTCAAGGAAGCTCACAGGCAATTTTATTGTCATTATTTAATGTTGTAGAAAAAAAAAAAAAACAAGTGTGGGTGATATATCATTTATTATTTGCCCTATGATTATTGCAGTGGTATTATTTAACCCATTATCACAAATAATAAGGCACAGACACCCATTAGATGCCTTATTAACTTAGGCAGGGCAGGTATTTTTACCTATGTTATCTCAATAACCTCACCATCCATTCCCCAGCCTCCACCCAATGCCATCTGCCTTAATCATCCTCATCTGGTCTAACTCCTTCCATCCATAATCCCAATAGGCTTGCTTATATTTTTCATCTTGCTGTTTTCTCTATCCACGCCATCCTTGGAGTCCTTCTTCTCAGCCCATGTCGTTCCTTCTCCATGCTAACCCATCTCTTCCTGTCCTCAAAAGCCCTGGAAACTTAGCCACGCCTACCCCATTCTGCCCTGCCCAGGTACAGGCTGTTTAATCAGCCAGTCAGGTAGGTTTACACAACAACGGTAGGTGTATGTAGGTGTATCCAGGCATCAATATACAAGCATCAGACCAAACCCCAGCGATTCAAAGCAACACACATTCATCCTCTTGTACTTTTGTAGGCGGCCAGTCATCACAGGTGTCACTGGTGTTGAGAGAGCTGTGTTCTCTCCTGGAGGATCTAGGGGACAATTCATTGCCTTTATAGCTTCTACAAGCCCCTCTCTGAGTCTACCTCTGACTCCAGCCATGGAAGTGGTGCTTATTTCAAGACCCAGAGTGGCTAGATTGGGACCACACTCCCTCCTAATGTTAGTGACCTTAATAGAATTGGCAAAATCTCTTTGGACAGAGGCAGTTTTTTTTTTTTTAAGTAATTTATCTTCTCTCATTTTTCTTTTTAAAATTTATTTATTTTTTTATTAATTAAAGTTTATTCACTTTGTATCCCAGCTGTAGCCCCCTCCCTCATCTCCTTCCATGCCCCTCCCCCAGTCCAATGACAGGGGAGGTCCTCCTCCCCTTTCATCTGACCCTAGCTTATCAGGTCTCATCAGGACTGGCTGAATTGTCTTCCTTGGCCTGGTAAGGCTGCTCCCCCTCAGGGGGAGGTGATTACAGAGCATGGACAGAGGCAGTTTTAAAGATCCACAATTCTAATCCTGATTGACTAAGGTCATTACTGATCACTAATGAAATAATTCAGAATTCAGTGATGAGGATACTCACTTGAGAACAAAAACAACGGCTGATGAGCTAAGTCTCCACCACAAGGATTCTGTTAAATAAGCTTAAATCACGTAGGACATTAAGCACAGGAGAGCAAATATCAAAAGGAACAGCAATGTTCCCAGCACACAGTAGATCTCTAGCAGAAGTGTGGTATTTTTTTTTTTTCCTCCTACCTCCTCATGTGCTAATACAGACATCACTTTTTGTAGTTTTTCAGGGCATTTTTTTCCCCCCAAAGATCATGAAAGTAAGACTAGAGAGGGTTAGTGATGTGGACTAGCCCACACGGTGAATGGAGAAGCCTGGAGCAGAAGCTAAGGTCCATGCATGCCGTCCCAGTTACTCCTCCTTGCCCACACCAGCTTCCACTCCGTACTCCTGCCTCTGACGTGCTCGCTGCCTCTAGTGAGATGGCAGCAAGCATTATTAGTCCGACAACGGAAGTGTCGGCACAGGCCCATCTATTTGCTCACTAATAGACTTTGCCGCACTCGCAAGAGCGCTAGACATTTGGATGCAAGAAGGGAAACATCTGGGTGAAAGCCACAGACATCAGGGTGTTCAAACAGGCACGTTATCAGGGTGGGCGGACCACGAGGCTCCCACTATCTGGACTCTGAACCCAGGAGGCAAGGGCGGCAGACAACTGGCAAGCATACGGAGCACTGAGATGGAGGCGATGCACACATCTGGGCACTACCGCACACCAGGCGTGCTGCCCTGATTGCTGGATGGAATATTCCCACTATGCCTGGGTTGCTGGGTCCCACGGTTCCCCTAGACCCGAATCTCCTCCAGATGTTGGTGAGGTGTTTCCTATCAGGGTAGGAACCTGCAAAGGTCCGGGGGGGAGGGGCTCTGGCACGCACCTGGCATGTGAACCATGCGGCAGTTGCAGTTCTCCACGATGTAGCGGGTCTCACAGTCAATCCGACAGGCCGTGATGCTGTAAACAGGAAAGAAGTCGAGCCCCATCTCCGAGGACCGGCACTCCCCCCATGGCGGGGGCAGATACGTGAGCTGTAAGACGGATAGGAAGGAGGACACCGTCAGCCCTGGCAGAGGACGCTCGCTCAGTCTCCACGGACCCAGAAGCTCGGCTGTTTACCTGTCCCATCAGCAAATAAGCAATTTAGCATGGTCAGCAATCTAAACCCCAGGGGCCTCGTGGGCTTTCACTGTTTGGCTCTTTTGCTCTCCTCAGTCTTTTTATTTAAAGGTTTCTTTTCTTCTTTCCTTCCTTCCTTCCTTCCTTCCTTCCTTCCTTCCTTCCTTCCTTCCTTCCTTCCTT